AATTTTGTATTCATTCACATTTGGCATGGTTTCATTTGTCTTCTGAAGACATAATTATATAAAAGGTTTACACCTAAAAATGCCCAGTTAAACACTTTTTTTGTTGTTGTTAATACCTAACTGATCAAATGATCACATTCATCCATTTCATGAAATAATTCAGTTTCAGCTTCAATAACTGGGCACGATAGCTTGTTCCAGACTCCCAGAAACCTTTCAGTGCTTTTGAGTGTTATGAATTATTTAATCAGGTCCCCTTGTAATCTTCTGTGATCAATATCAAAAATGATGTATTTATTTTAGCCTATCAGAGTAGGACATTGCTATTATTCTGTGAATATACATTATTGATTGTTTTTGGACTGATTTCAGAGCTGCCATGTATTTGACAAAATATCCTAAATGAGGAGTTGAACAAATTTGACATCCCTTGATTTAAATCCTATAATTTAGACTATATTGTAAATCTTGACATTTCGTTATTTTATGGGACTTTTTTATTGTTTCCTCACATTTTCTAGAATACAAAAAATAATGTCAGAAGAAACTATCTGTATTGTTTCAAAGTATGATTCAAAGCCTACCACAATATGATCTTAGTTCCCTAATGGGTTTCTTAACCCTGTTTTCTTTTATCTATTTTGATTGTTTGGAAATACTGAATCAATACAGACATTCATTCTAGGAGATGCTCTGACAAACTAAATAAGAAAGCAGAGGCTGTGTCTGCCGTTTCAAATTTGGTCTGTGACATTTCTGATGGGTTTCACATGATCAAAACTCTCTTATGATTGTATTTAGGGCGGCATAGCAGCACACTGGTTAATTTTGCTGCCTCACAGCACTGAGATAATTTCCTGGGGTACTATCTGCACAGGATTGATATGTTCTCTCCATGTTTATATGGGTGTCCTCCAGGTGCTCCGGTTTTCTCCCGCAGTCCAAAATCATTCTGGTGGATTAATTGGCTTCTGGGAAAATTGGTCTTGGTGTGAGTATCTGCATGCTTGTGCCTGTATATGCCCTGCGATGCACTGGAGTCCCATCCAGACAGTATTTTGCCTTACTGTTGCTTGACAGGATAGGCTCTGGCTCCCTTGTGACCCTGTACTGGATAAAGCAGTTGGAAAATGACTAGCTGGATAATTGTATTTAATGACCAAACTGCATCCCACTTGCACAAATAGCCCAAAGAGCTCTGTGTTATACATACGCATAATATGGAATATATATAGATAACAAAGGAGTTCATTGTATTCTGCCATTCTATTAGTATCCTCCAGTTTGTCTCATGAGACGTATAGTAGGTCATTATGAAATCTGTGTCGTGTCAGTTATCAGAGCGAATCTTTGTCGGAATCTATGGAAAACAAAATAAATAGGTTGCAAGTTATTTTAGTTATCAGACAGGGTTGCTGTCGCTAATTGTCACAAAAATAAAGCCATAATAATTGAATATGATACTTTAATAAATCATCATCTGTTAATGCATTATTATAATTTTAAAAATTCCTATCAAACTGACAATCAGATCAACTGATCTATTAGGCAAATTGCAATGCAAGCCATTGTCAGCAGGACTTCACTGCATTAAGAATCTGATTAAGTAACACTGCTAGCTGTAACCATATATATGTGCTCAGAAATGGTTTATGGCTCCAAATCTAAACCTTGACCTAGTTATTAGATGAGTATAAGCCGTGTGTATAGTGGGGTGGAGCTGAAAAGAGAACAGGAAACAATTGTTCTGTTTGTGGCTTCACTTGCAAACCTAGGAAGGGAGGAGGAGAGCGATTGGCAGGCAGGGATATGGGTGGGGATGATCAAACTCTAGCCCACAGTGGGATCAAAACATGGGTTTCCTGTTTATCTTACAGAGGGCAAATTCCACTATGTGAAAAGCCATTGGGGGATGAGGTGTTGTTAACACCACATCGTGGCACTTCATTGCTTAACAATACAGGGTACACATGGCAGCAGATGATTGGCTTGATAGTCAGCACTACTGCCACAAAGCTTCAGGGTCCAGGCATTGCTTTGGTGCTTGCCTGTGTGGAGCTTTTATGTTCTCTCAACGTTCACATGTGTTTATACCAAATCTCCCAGTTTCCTTCTGCCATCCAAAAACACACGTGTCATGTTTGAATAACTGCTTGGTATTGTTATCCTGGGGATTTCAGTGCCTTTCTCACTTAGAAGCACTATTCTTTTTGTTAAAGTACTGAACTTACTTTACTTATTGTTACTGTACAGCATGATGTCATTTATTTTTGGATACTGGGTATCAAGGTTGCACAGTGGTTAGTATTGCTGCCTCGTAGCTCTAGAGCCCTGGATTCAATTCTGGACTTAGGGTGCTAACTGTGTGGATGTATGTTACCCCTGTGTTCACATGGGTTTCCTAGAGGTGCCCCAGTTTACTCCCACAGTCCAAAGACATACTATTGGGTAAACTGACTTCTGGGAAAATTGTCTCTGGCGTCCCAAACAATGTGTATCTCGCCTTGTGCCCATTGCTTGTGTAACAAGACGTCAGTTAGACTTGCCAGGATAGACTCTGGCTCCCCTTCGGCTCTGAATTGGATGAAGCGGTTAGAAAATTGATAGATGTTTGTATACCTACAGTATGTGCTGCTTTAAATGCTTTTGCTTGCAACAATTTATTTTTCTTTCCTTCATTTTAATTATTTTCTCGTTAACTGTTTAGGGGCAGCATAGTGTAGGGAATAAGTCTTTGGGTTAATAAGTGGTGGGTTTGAGGTCCCTGCTGCAGACATTCCTGTTGTACTTTTGTACCTTATGGGAGTCACTTACTCTCTGTCTGCTTACAACCGTGGAAACCATGGTAAAATCTAACTTAATGAGCTGTTGTGACTCAACTGTGAAACATACCTATCTACCTTTTTAATTGTGAAAGTTCTGCAAGTTGTAGATTTTTTGTTGTTGTTGATACTTTTATATTGTTGTTGGTCTCCTTTGGTAAAGACATGATTCCAATATAGTACGTTGTTGTTTTATTAAAAATAAAACCTCTGAATATGTTCCTCAAATGTCGACAGTGACTCCACAATTGGTTTTACAAGACTTACTGCTCATTGTGTTTTTAACAATCGCTTAGCAGTTTTACCTCTTTACACTTGCTACCCAAAATTCACGTTGGTTTTAATCGCGTTATTCGCAAATTAACGCAATCAGATCGAAAATTAATTTCTGCACTCTGACACTATATGAAACGTAAATCGTTATTTCCTGCAACGTTTTCTAATTTATGTAAACGTTATATCTCTTATGATGTCTGACTCGTTTGTTTTTTGCCTAAAATCTTACTTTTTTTTGTTATGCAATTGATCTTTTAAAATCCTTTTAACAGCACACACACCCAAACTGTATTCTTCTAAAAGGTTACCGTTACCGTTTGCTCAAGAATGAAATGTTTTGTTGATTTGATCTCATTTCTAGGGTTGACATTATGTGTAGTGTTAAAATGATTTTTCTATTTTATGTCACTGAAGTATATTGCCGAAATTTGCAGTTAGAACTACAAAGCAAAACCATTATCTAAATTCAAAGCGGCCTCTGCCCGATTTTTTTTTCACTCGGGGAGTCCAAAAAGTGAAAACGTCATGGTTTAAGGACAAACGTTGTTTAACGCTTCCGACTTCGATTTATGCATCTCAAAAAACAAACACAGCTTAATTCTTAACAGAGCAAAGCATTGGTTTCTTTGATGTGTTGTGTAAAGAAATTGTTTTTCTTTGAGATCAACCGTGTTGGCGTAGAACTGGTTAATTCAGTGCAAACCCAAGTACTGGTTAAAGTATGGAGAAGCCTTTTTTTTCCCTGAATTGGAACACACTACGTTCCCAGCGCAGAGCGGTATCTAGCACCTTTTTCTTCTACGGTATCTATAGCACCTGGTAATCTCTTGTCATTAGGTGCTGATTGCTCAGTTAAACATGCCCCACCCCCATAGCCTTCTTCTGTGTTTACAAACAGTCCTTGCTCGCATAGGTCACTGGCCAGACGCCACTGATGATGTCACCGAAAAAAAAAGCACATGTCTGCATGCCACATGAATCCCCTTGAAAAGTCGCAGCCCAAAGGCTTCGTGAAGAACGAATTTTTAGCCTTTGCATTCTTTATTAGGGGGGGTCAGGTGATATGGCCATGGTCGCTCAACTGTCTGGGATCTTTCTGCTGCTGGTTTTTAAGTATTTTAAACTTAGGCTTTGCTCACCGTGACCTCCATAATAAACCGAGCCTCATGGTGTATTCTGGGTACTTAGGTTTGTAAACCTTGCGCCGCTGCAGACATTTGTGCTGCATTCAAAATCGGGTATGGATTCTATTAGGGACGGGGTGCTTGTTCCAAATACAGTAAGCTCAGACTGAAATGTGAGATGCGGTTCAAAAACATTAAACTAAACATGCGCGACATATCGTGTTTCATAAACCATAGCGTAACACATTACTCCTTTTATTGCTTTGTCTATAATCGGACAATTTTGATAAACGAAGATGTTCACGTTATTTACTGCGTTACAATCCAGTAAGCCGTTTCTGGGTACGGTCAGAAATCCAAAAGATGTCGATTATTATTGTTTCTTCACATTATTATACAATTAGTGGTAGGCGTGAATAGTACTGTAATGTGCGATGCATGTTTCAGCATTACTTTGTAAATATGATGAGAAGTTATTTGATTAGAATACAGATCATTGATAAACTGACAAGAGTATAGAGATCATGCACTATGATGTACAAAACCCGACGGCTTCCTTTCTCTGTTTATGATTTAAGGTTCCAAGCGCATTCCATTCTAGGAAGGACGTTTATAAATTGTTATAAGGGTGTGTCAGATACAATATTTTAGTATTCTCCAACCATATCCAGAACGCTTAAAGACGGAATCCTCTCCATTTTACCACACGCCGGTCTCCATCTTTTTCAAACCACCTTTCATTTGCGTGCTAGTTCACAATGCAACCAAACATGCCAGCTTTACCAACCGGCCATAACTTCATTTCCATTGGTGGTCTCCCTATAACTCCACGTCCTTCCTCGTTCTTCATTGCCTAAGACGATTGTCAGTCACCTAGCGCCCGCCTCCTTCGTGCTGTTTGGTTGGTCCTTTCTCCTTCCCTTTCTCTCTGTGTCGCGGCGGTGGGTCGGAGCCGCTGTCCCTGGTCTGGCACGTTCCCTACTAAAATTTACTAGATTTAAATTGGATTCCCCTGCTAGAAATTACGCAGTTCGCAACCCATTCGAGACCCAAAATCAGACCTATCCCCCCACTCTCTCCACAAAAACGTTTGGTGTATTAGACCCCACAAATTCAGTAAAATGGCGGTGGTGAGCGGGGTGTCCGGGCCGGCGGTAGCCCGGCTTGAGGGCCGTGAGTTCGAGTACCTGATGAAGAAGCGCTCGGTGACCATCGGGCGGAATTCGTCGCAGGGCTCCGTGGACGTGAGCATGGGCCATTCGAGCTTCATCTCCCGCCGACACTTGGAAATCTTCACCGCCGGCGAAGACGGGACCGGCGGGGGAGATTTCTACCTGCGCTGCCTCGGCAAAAACGGGGTGTTCGTGGACGGGGTGTTCCAGAGACGGGGGGCTCCTCCGCTACAGCTACCAAGAGTGTAAGTAGATGTTTATTGGTGTCATTGTTGCTGTTCTCCCCATTGCACGTGTTAATGGAATGCAGAAGGAAACAATACAGCAGATTGAAAAACGTGTGTGTGTCCCAGCAGTTTCAAGCACGAGTGGGGAGGGGGGAGTCGTGCATTATCTAGTAAATATTTTGGTTCGTTTCTGTTATTCTTTGTAGCTATTCGCTTTATTTCTGCCTCAGAAATTAGGATGCATTGTTCCCGGAGATCACGTTTACTAATACTGTGTAGAAATCGGTGTTTCATGCGTGAAGAAACCGATATTAAAACATTTCCTCGTTTGTATACAGATTTCTGACACCGTGATAAGGTTCTAGTTAATGCTCGCTGAATGGTATACATGCGATATCCCGTGTTGTGGAATTGAGCATGATAAGGATCCTTCAATGTATAACTTACATTGTCCTAGAGAAATAAAAGGACGGTTCAGGTATTGCATTATCAATGTTTGGGTTTGCAATTACAGTTAACTATTGAAACTTGAGCACGTCATAATGCTAATTTAACTGGAAGTGTTTTTAAATACTCGAATTGAATACAGATGGTAGCTTCCAATAAGATTTTTACAACTAAAACCTCATCTCAGTTTAAGATTCAGCTGGTTTTCTCCTTGAAACTTATGCGCTGGATAAACGTGCTCTAGGTCAGTCGCTCGCTTTTGCACGTCGCTGCTTGAGTTAAGTGTATTATCTGGCCTACATACGTTCTTAACGCTGTGGCAAAATTGGCTGTTGGCATTTTAATTACCGTGACGAATTAGATTCGCAGTGTTCAATAGCATGCATGGAACAATTATGAAAAAAGATGTTTTCACCATACTCTAGCCTATTGTGAGAATTGTGGACGTTTTAGGATTGTACAGTTGTAATTCAGGTTTCTAAGACTAGAAAACATCTGGTTGTTAATCACATTTGCCTGGTGTTCTTAAGGTCTGAAACTGGCCACTGAGGACTAATAAAAGTAGAACCATGCCTTTTAAAATGGTTTTGAGTGGCACCTTTTTGTGTCACGTAATAAACTCGTACCTTTGGTGAATGCAGCGTGGTTGTGTTTTTACTTTACATATCAATTGATTTAAAAGAATCAGATCTTAGTCATGTGTTTGAAATGCATTTGAACACCTTTGAAATTGTGCTTTATTAAAGAGCCCACTTAAGGCTAGCTTCCGGAGACGTTCTGTTAAAAACCCCCCTTCCAGTTCTATTTTACCGTCTTTTACGTATTTACTGTTTTAAGTAACAGCTATATAAAAATGTCTGACATATTTGGTTTCCTCATTGTGTGAGTGAATACAGCCACCGGAAGGAAATCCTGCTTACAAGTGCAGGAATCTGAATCATTCATAAAACATTTATTTACGGTGTTAAAAGCAACTGATTATAGCTTCCTTTTGCTTTGGTTTATGTAGCAGCTTGCAGAGTGAGCAATACTAGTTTTCACAGGATTCCAGCCAACAGTTAATTGTTGACTGAAGAGGAAATCTGGAACCATTTCTTTTGTTTTGGAGTAGTTAAGGTTTTTGATAATCAGCAACTAAAATGTCTGAAAAATGATGTTAAGAGTTCAGTGATATTTTTTTCACTATGCTTTTTGAGATTGTTGGGGTTTGTGAGCTATAACTGAAATGGAAAATATACAGTACACTGAGAACAGTCTGCCACAGCTGAAGAGAAGGTGAGTTTGTGCAGAGTAAAAATGTTTATATTGCTACAGAGATGTAAGAGACTTCTTTCAAACAAGTATTGATTTGGAGTAGGTTCATGATTTGAGTCTTTGGCTGTGATATGTTGTGCCAGTAAAGTATATGTTTTGGTTTTGCCATTTTGTATTGGTTTGACTGCCTTGTGTTGCTTAATAGAACTGTATGTAGTTATCAAAGCACACAAGTATGGAAGCATTCATGTTGTTTTAAACTGGGAAAGATAGTTTGAAATTCCCTGGCTATGCTACATGAAGAACAGATAATTCACATTTTGGTCAGTTATTAAGTCATTAAAATGTGTTTTTGTCTTGGTAAAAGAGTCTTTATAGTACACCTTTTCTTCTTCTCACCACTCATGGTGATATATTTGAATCCTTCTTGTTTTAAGAAAGTTCTGTTGACCCAAGATTTAACAGATTTATGTGTTTTTCTTAAAAATAAGCATTCATACTTATTGTAACATTTTCACTTCTATTTCAGTGTAAAGGTGCTATATTTTTAAGAACAAGAGCCTACCACTTTTTAAAAATTAAAAAAATATATCAGTGAAACTGCAGAGTGAGACAGCTCTCACTTAAAATAAATGGTGATATCCTACAAAAATATTTTGAGAACTTCATTGATGCCTTCTCCTTTGTAACGGAAGTATTGATGGGGTGGGGAGGGTGGTGACATCAGTGGTTGTGTATTTGACTAAAAGAATTCACATACTTTTGAGAGTTGCTTCAAAAACATCTCATTATAGAATTTTCCTAAAATTAAAATTGTATGGAACGATACTGGATCTAATATTCCCTTTGTCGTAAATACACATTGCTGGTAGGTATTATTATTGGTTTTTAAGTTTTTTGAAATGTATTTCATTTGTGATGGTTTATGATACCAAGGCTGTATTGACTGACATTGTGTGGAAAGATACCTTGTGTAGCCTTTTCAGGTGTTGGCTGGCATCTTTTCTTGAAGTTGATGCAGTCTTTTTCTTTTTGCCTTTTCTCCAAAGCTTTTCAGTTCTGTCCTTTTTTCACAAAGTGAGTCATTTTGATAAACACTCTTACACATTGCTTGAGTCAGCTTAGCCGATGTGATAGACTAAACAACACACTATTCATTTTTTAGCTTCAAAACACATGTACAAATTGATTCTGATTGATTTCCCAGCCTCCAGGGTCATCATGTATTTGGAAAATGGAGCCTACATTGGGCTATAGTTTTAGTCACTGTTGCCATGTCAAAAAGGATAGTGTATTTTTACTAATTATTGAAAGTGCATGTTTAAAGAATAATTCATTTAATATCTTTCCAGATTTACATGAAAGAAAGTGAATAGCTGACAAAGACCCTTCACCAGTGTATTGTTGAGTACAGAATTGGCAATTTCTGAATTTTGGTAATAGAGTGATTGTTTCGGTAGTTAAGAATAGAAATGCCTTCTGACTTACTCGATAAGATTGTTTCCAAATGTCCATTGGCACTGTACCTTCAGAGCTGAATGATCCAGAAAGTTAAAGAGTGGTTCATATGTAATAAAATACAAAACTGTCATCATTAGTGCTGCTTATTTGTATCATCGGAAATAGTTCCAAAATGATTTGTTTAATGAAAAACATTTGTAGACTGCTGCACAAGCAGTTGGTAAAGAGTGCATTTATTTTGTATCATCCAGATAGACACTTAGGTGTATTTTCCAGAGGACAAATATATAGCAGATAGTCTATTCTCAGTGGGGATTTAATCAGTATATGAGTGACATTGAAGGCAATGATAAACAGCCCATGTGTCTGTTTATCTCTATATCTTTGGTGGTATTTAAATAGAATTACTAAACCACATTGGTTTAACTGTACATTTAGCCTCTGCCTACATTGTTTAGTAAACCGTGGTCTTAAAAGACTCCTGAACAGTCATGCCAAGCACAGGCCCTGCAACTCTGCAGGGACAAGGTATAGAAAAGTAAAAATGATGTGTGATATAAAATTGCATTGTTTCCAAGAACCAGGGGCAAACTGGTCATATTTACTTTGTCTAAATTCGAAAAGGCTAGGTAAGAGCTGTCTGGCATTTTTTCAAGAAATCTATAACCACTGATTTCTTTTTGTTATACCTACCCGCATTGGAATAACCAGAGTCGATATATCCCACCACACCCTGAAGTCTGGATTAACTCTGAGTGACAGTTGGGGCAACACCATTGGTTATTCCAGTTGGTTGTTCCTCTTTGGTGTATTTCACACCTTGACTTGCAGTTACTTGCAAGTGACTTGCAACCCAACAAACTCATGCATGGGACAATAAGTATAGGCTTAGTCCTCCAAGTTACCCACCTTTGAGTCACTAGTGTTTTAACCTGTCACATGTACCGGCTGCAGGGACCGCTGTGTTACTGAAAGCCAGTGGAGAGCTAGTCAGTAAATCTTGTGGTGCCCTTGGCAGCGTTCAGCCAGTTTTGCACTAGCTGCTTGGGGGAATCCCCATCACCACCAGCTTGTCACATGTTCCAGGCTTGAACCCATGATTCTAAAGCTCATCTTGCACTCGGATGAGAATCTGTTCTGGTATAACTCTTTAGTTTGGTTGTAAAGACAAAATGTCAACTCTAGACTTGGAGTGAGGTGTGTGGGAGCACATTCTTGCATGCTGTGCAGATAGTGTCTTCTCTCTTGCCGGGATATTTAATTACCAAAGACACATCAGAAATAAAAGTTGGGAGTCTCTTGGTCTAGCATTTCTCCAGGTAGAATTTTGTGAAGCTTTGTATGAATACTTTATCTAACAGACGATTCATCTGTCCAGTATGGGTATATTGCCTTTTTTTACCTATTTCCTGACAAATTGGTTTGGTTTCTAGAAGCAGAATGTATTTCAGAAATGTGTTCAGGTGGGACACTCGTCTTTTGGAGCATGAAAAATCACTAAGACTTTGGGTGGAATGAGTAATTGTAAACGAACTGTGAAGTTTCATATCACAAAGCAAAAACCACAGGCTAAACCTGAACCTCCATTTTTTGTTGTTTTTAAACAATTTCCTTTTTTTACAATTAACGGCCAACTTTCAGTATTAAATTCAATTAAAAAAGGTATTAGAGCTGTTTGAATTCACGTCATGTGTGAATTAAAGACTGAGAGATTAACAGAATTAAGAAAATGTGCATCATAAACTGTAACATACTAAGTGTTTAAATGCAGTTTGACTTAACCTGCTAGATGGAGGTCCACCCAGAATCATTAGAGTTACATGTTTAGAATTCTGTAGCAGTGGTAAAGTGTTTGA